CAACCAGCGCCCAGCATGAGTACATTTCTTTTTAGATAATATCACCCTTTCCCTTGCTGTCTCCCAGTTGTTCTCTCCTGTCCCCACCTCAAATTGAATAGTTCATTTTCAACATAGTATCAGCTACTGCTACATTTGTTCATCCATTGTCCCTCCATTTCCATTTCCTCTGTTACTCTCCCAAAGACAGATAAATAAACAAGACCGAAAGAAAACAACAACAAAGAAAAACTTCTACTTCCATTTCCTGGAGTTCACTTCATTAAATAATTTATATGATTAGATACACATAGGCATTGTGCCTTTGTATTCCTGTTTTTTGTTTTTTCTTCTTCTTTTTGTTGGTCATGGGACCTGCACTCTGGGCCTGGGCGCTGTCCCTCAGCTCTTCAGCTCAAGGCTAGCACTCTACCATTTGAGCCACAGTGCCACTTACAGCTTTTTCTGCTTATGTGGTGCTGAGGAATCAAACCCAGGGCCTCATGCTTGCAAGGCAAGCACTTTACCGCTGAGCCACCCTCCCAGCCCTGTGTTCCTGTCTTAAGAGTGTCCTTCTTTGGTCTCACTGTATGTGAATGCCTAGAGTCCTGTATAATTTATCATGTCCTGGTGTTTTAGATCTCATTTCTGCATAGGAGAGAAAACATGCACTGTTTGTCTCTCTGAGCTTGACGTAACATGATTTGTATTAGATCCATCCATTTCCCTGCAAATGACAGAGTATTATTCTTTCTAATGGCTGTGTAAAATTCCACTGTGTACCACATTTTTTGGATCCACTCATCTATTGTAGGACATCTGGGTTGTTTCCATACTTGGCTGTTGTGAATAGTGCCGCAATGAACATGGTTGTACAAGTGTCTTTATATCCTGGCTTGCGATGTTCTGGATAAATGCCCAGGAGTGGTATGGCTTTGTTGTTCTAGAAAATATGTTTTGGGGCTAGGAATGTGGTTTATTGATAGAGTGCTTGCCTAGCATGCAGGAAGCCATGGGTTCAATTCCTCAATACCACATAAACAGAAAAAAACTGGGAGTGGTGCTGTGGCTCAAGTGGTAGAGTGCTAGTCTTGAGCAAAAAGAAGCTCAGGGACATTGCCCAAGACCTGAGTTCAAGCTCCAGGACTGACAAAAGAAAAAAAAGAAAGAGAGAGAGAAAGAAAGAAAGAGAAAGAAAGAAAAGGAAGGAAAGAAAGAAAGAAACTACATTTTGGTTTGGGTTTTTTTTGGTTGTTTTTCTGTGTGTGTGTGTGTGTGTGTGTGTGTGTGTGTTGCTACTGGGGCTTGAACTCATGGTTTTGCACTCTTTTGCTCTCGGTTGGTACTGTACCACTTGAGATATGTCTACAGTACCAGCTTTTTTGCTGACTAATTGGAGTTAAGGTTTTCCTGGATTTATTTGTCTGGGCTGGCTTTGAACCATGAGATCCTCAGATCTCAGCATCCTAAGTATTAGCTTCTTTCAGAACTTACTATGTACCCATATAAATGTGTGTATGTTTATATGTATATGTTGTAGGTATGGAGGGAGGGTATTGGAACAGGTCCAGCTTTATTAGATTAACAATAGGCATTTGTTCTAGTTTATACCTGAAAAGGAATAGCAAATACTACAGCACAGGAAGGAAGTCTTGCAGAAATAAGATCTTTCTTAAATTTTTTTGGCTCTGGCTTTCCCACACAGAATATATACTTTATCTTCAACCAGCTCTCAGCCTGCCATAGAAGTTTGGGAACTGCCATCTTGAATATTTCAAATTCCTGTTTTATTAAGTAGACATGGATTTCTCCACTATGTGTTATATGCACCCTCACTTTTGGAAGATTTATTTTTAAATTGACATTTGAAAATTTTATTCTTCTAAAGGATATCAGAGGAGGTTGTGTCAGAGCTTCAATCTTTTAGTATCTCCTTTATAATCAAGAAGAGGGGAAAAAAAATCTTACTCTTTGAAGCTCAGCTTCCATCTGGGATTTCTTACAGAATTGGAAGGTAGAAAGGAGGAGAAGAGTATGTGTGTGTTTTCAGAGAGTAATAGTTTGTGCTATTGCTTTGATGTGTTTTTAATCATGATAATTTAATTTGTATTCTAACTGTGATGAAAGAGATCATGAGTTTTGTTAGTTTGTTTTGCCAGTCCTGGGGCTTGAACTCAGAACCTAGGCACTGTCCCTGAGCTTCTTTTGCTCAAGACTAGCACTCTACCACTTGAGCCACAGACCCTCTTCCAGCCTTTTTTGTCTATGTGGTATGAGGAATCAAACCCAGGGCTTCATGCATGCTAGGCAAGTACTCTACCACTAAGCCACATTCCCAACCTAGAGACCATGAGTTTTGTAGTTTTAGGAATGAGTAGAGTCCCATGGTGTTTGGAAATTGAGGAACAGGGGCAACAAATGTGGCATGTGGCTTAGTGGTAGAGTGCTTGCCTAGCATGCATGAAGCCCTGGGTTCAATTCCTCAGTACCACATACACACAGAAAGCTGGAAATGGTGCTATGGTTCACATGGT